GATCGCCGGATCGGCTTTCACCGTGGACGAAGCGGAGTCCTGCCCGGGGTCGTTACATGTGGTTGCCGCAAGCCCGCCGGCCGCTCCTTCGTCGAATCCACCAGCCACGCCGTTCTCAAGCCCACCGGCCTCCGTTCACTCTAGCCCCCGGCCTCTGCTCACTCTAGGCCACCGCCGCTCACTCTAGCCCTCCGTGTGTGATGCTGTGTTTCGTTGTGAAAGCGAAACTACTTTGTTTGGCCTTCCAAAAGAGGACATGACTAGAAATCAGTGGTTAAGTTGTAATTATAACACTGTTCCAGAACACTTCAACCTAAATATTCAGATGTGTGCAGCACATTTTATGGAGGACTGTTTCTTGATCCTGGTAGAGTAGACCAGGGGTTTTCAACCTGTGGGGCCAGCACCTGTCAAGGGGGCGTGAGCATCAGTTAATTCAGAGACGTTCCCTTGAGAATTTATGAATACGAGTTAACAAATCTTTAGCCATCCACTAGGGGGCAATCTGACTCCCACTGCTAGTCGACAGTTAGAGCAGAGTTGGCTCGAGTATGAGTCACGCTCAGTGATGCCAAGTCCGCGGTTTTCCCGCGGAATTGGGCTACTTTAACACTTGCCACGTTTTGTAGTTTTGGGCTAGTTTTGAGTAGCAATTAGGCGGGTTTTGTTGTGAAAACCTGGCAACCCTGGTCACGCTTATTGACAGTGTAAGATGACTTGCGATTAGCTGTGTCGAAAATTCAACCACGGATTGGTATGTTGTTATCTCAGAAACAGGCTCAGCCATCACATTGAATCAGGTAAACTGGTTATATATTTATGTTTCAGTATAATTACGCACGCTATACCAGGGGCGGTTCTAAACCCTTTTTAGGTGGGTTTCAACCCCCCTATCTGTCACCTTGGCCCCCCAAAACTATCTAAACGATCAGGCCAGTGCTGCTTCCTCGAGAAAGTTTTTCATTCTCACGTGTTTTAAGTCTGGTCAGTTTAAACACTAAAGTAATTTTAAGCCATTTAAGCCCAAGACATCTCAATGCGGTACTC